TTAAAAAAAGGGGGACAAAACATCTGTTTTAGCACTTACTGTACAATTGTGCACACTTACATTCTTTTATTGTAAATGTTCAGTTTTACAAGAACGAAAGAAAGTGAAAGAACTGAAAAAAACTGAAGAATCGCATACATACTGCTTATTCATTGGGAACCTTGTTATACGTTTAATTTTAGTAAGAATACATTTTCAACATTGTGGCTATTTATTTATATAAACAGATTGCTTGCATGTATGGAAAAGTAAGAAGGTTCCACTGAGACCATAAAAGCAACACCATAAAATGTGTGGAAGCAATTGTGGGAATTAGGAGACTTTTATTATAGAAAAAAGAAATATTGCCAAGTTCCAATGAAGCATCTTGTACGACTTTGCTTCTGGAGCGATTTTGATGTTTTTCTGTTTGCACAGCGCCACTTGGTGGTCAGTTTGCGTGTTGCATGAGAAGTAAACGGGTTGTGATTTCCACCAGGTTCAAGGGTCTGCTCGCACTGGGGCCGAGGGTCCTGAGGCCCGGAGAGGGGGGTCCGGGGATGAGAATTCCTGCTTGCTATGGCTGGTAGCAGCTTCCGCTCACTCTGGGAAATCGGTTGAACTGGAGCCATCCTGTGAATCCCCACGCGGAAATAAATCATTCTTAACTAGCCCCCTCACAGAATCAGGCATGTGTTTCAGCCCTCTTGGTGTGTGTGAATGTGCACATATGTGCCGGGTCTAGCAGTGTCTGTGAGTGTAGGTGTGTGTACGCAGCTGGATCTGTCTTTTATTCCATGCACTCCCTGGAATAATGTTCCTCTCCTACGCATGGGGTGCTTTACGTTGTCTCTGAATAAAGACTCTGTACAAACGATAGCCTACTGTATGTCTTACAATTTTTACCCCATACTGTCTTTTTCCATCTGTCTTGGGCTTAAAAGAAGGTAGCGCACCATACTTATAAATAACACATGCATGACAGTGGTGAGGACACTTTTAGTAGCTTTCATAAGCATGTGGCCATTCGCAAAGTTCCTACAGAGTAGTATTTAAAAGACATTCAATCAGTGACAAGCACACACACATGGAAACATGTAGAACCTTACATGACCTTTAGATCGTAAGATTTTATAATTAATTTATCTAATTGATTTTGAAAAGTGAATACTGAAGTTAGCATCCTATTTAAAGGGATAGTTCTTCCAAAATGAAGACTATTTATATTTATATTTTGAATAAGTTAGTAAGCAGTTTTGGTTATCATTGACTTTCATTGTATGGAGAGAGAAAAAACAGTGAGACATTTCTTAAAACATTTTCTTTTATGTTCCACAGAGGAAAGAAAGTCATAAAGGTTTGGATCGAAAATGATGACAGAATTTTCATTTTTGGGTAAACTATCCTTTTAATCTTTTACCTCATTATGATCTTGTTCTCTGTTTAAACAACAGCATCCTGTCATAGTCCAAAATTAATGGTAAACTGTGTAGTTTTTTTGTGCTTTTTGTGTCATTAAACGTAATTGCAAAAAGTAATGTTTTAAAACAGGTTTCCTTATTCCTTATAGTTGTCTATGTATATTCTGCTTGGAAAATATTTTAATATCAAAAAACTTTAACCTGATGCAATGGAGTCAGACTTGGCATAAGCATTGCAGGCCACCCTGCCTTGCTCTGTTTCTCTCTCTTTCTCTCTCTTTCTTGAATGGATGCATGAGAATGAGACAAGAGCAGGGTGCAGTGGGTTTGCTTGGCAGCTGGCATGCCAACAGCACTCCCATCACCTCGTTGACTTAATGCCAATGGGAGTGACACAAAGACCACCCCGATGCAGTGTATCGGCCACCGTGCCATGCTCATCAACACACTGGACTAGAGAATAATACAAACCAAAAGGATGAAACGTTTCTTGAGTGCCAAATTAGCATTTTAGAATGATTTCTGAAGGATCATGTGAGACTGAAGACTGGAGTAATGAAAATTACATTATAAAATATATTATAATAGAAAACAATGTACAATTTAAAACTGTAATTTTTTTTTTACACTATTTCGGTTTAATTTATTTATTTATTTTTTATTGTATTTATAATGCAGCTTTTCGGTGAGCATTGGACACTTTTTTGAAAAAACATAAAAAAAAATATATTACCAGTGTGTATATATATGCGTGTAAAATAATACATAATACATAAAATAATATATATGCGTGTCAAATTAATACTTTATGTATGATATTCGTTAAGCATCCATGTAATAAGTAGCCTAATACAATCAATAATGATTTTGAACATAGCATTTATTCTGACCATAGTTTGTTAATAAGTGAAATAGTGACCTTACATCATTATATTAGTTGATTAGTTGCTCTTGAGCTTACTCTTTCTTTCTTTGATAAGCGTACAGACCCTAGGACTTTTATTTTAATATTTGCTCAGTTGAGAAATGCCAAGTTTTAGGCAGTATAAACACCAGAGTAAGTCTGTAAAATATATTATTTGCTTTAACTGACCACATTTACGATTCACAAATCGTCCCCAAGAGAGAGATAGGAGGTATCATATATGTCTGTTACTGTCCACCTAGGACTGTGTTTATATTTTTGTACAAGTTAAATATACTTTTTGTGGTTTACTAAATGGTTCCTGAAAATCAAACGAATCATGACCAGTTTCCCTTTTCAAACTGGCGCAACAGATAGAGCTTTTGCTGATTAAGCTCAGACTGAGGGCTGTCATTAGTGGAAATGGTCAACCATTCAATGGCTCGAATGTGGTCAGTTCAGGAAGGTGGATTTGCTTGGATAGAGTGAAACGGCCGGGACTTTCCAGACCTGACCATATCTTTGGCTTATTAAAAGTAATTTTATACAGAATTAAACGATTTTAAAGTTAAAGTTTTGTTTGTATAATTCTACAGCCTGGTTGTTCACATAAGGCCATACTACACATTATTGTGTGTTTTAAAATATGTGAACAGATTTTAATTGACTGTGACAAGCGACAGTGATTGCTTTTCCTTATGTGTATGTATATGCATGCATGTGTGTGTGACTATATATATTATAAACTGAATATATTTTGGTTCATGGGTTCTGTTGACACTAAAGCAGCTTTGAAGCTCTTTTGCCATTCAACTTATCAATACATCTGTCAGGTTTCACATCAATGCACACTTGTTCTGAACTCCATTTGTTGCAATGACTCCTGATTAATGATTGCCCTCTGGTGGGAGACTCAGGCGATGCCTCCAGTAGCTCCACTCATATGGTACCTTCTCACTTCTCTGTTATTTTCTTTCTCTGAATTTTAGTCTACAGCTCTTGGTTTGTGACCTGTGCTTTGTTAGTCGACCTTGTAAAGTTGGTATAGGGACCTAGGGTTTTGGATTTTTCAACTCTGGATTATTATTATTATCATTTTCATCCAGAGTCCAGGGAAATACTGCATATATGTATATATATATATATATAGAGAGAGAGAGATAGATAGATAGATAGATAGATAGATAGATAGATAGATAGATGGTACTGCACTATCAATAAATGTAAATAAATAATTTATTTATTTCTATATATTTATTTTTCTTTTAAATTATTTAAAGATTATTGTAGGTTCTCCCTACAGCCTTGTTTGATTGATTCCACCAAAATGTGTTTTAACTTATTAAACTATTATTAAAATAATCAATTTATACACACATATTACCATTCAAAAGTTTGGGGTCTGTAAGATTTTTTCATGTTTTTGAGGGAAGTCTCTTATGCTCACCAGGGCTGGATTTATTAGATAAAAAATATAATAAAAACAGTAATATTTGAAATATTATTACAACGGTTTTCTATTTTAAAATGTAATTTATTCCTGTTATGGCAAAGCTGAATTTTCAGCAGCCATTACTTCAGTCACATGATACTCATTCTAATATACCGATGTGGTCCTCAGGAAACATTTCTTCTTATTATTATCATTGCTGAAAACAGTTGTGCTGCTTAATATTTCTCAGGAAACTGTGATGTATTTTTTTGGGGATTCTTCGCTGAATAGAACGTTAAAAAGAACAGCATTTATTTGATATAGAAATCTTTTGTAACATTATACAATTCTTTACTTCAACTTTAGAAAAATGTAATGCATCCTCCCTGAATAAAAATATTAATTTCTTTAAAATAAAAAAAATATATATTACTAACCCCAAACTTTTGAATAGTAAATCTCTTATTTCTTTGATATCTCTTATGCTCCACTTATTATAATGTAGTTAGGGCAGGAGCACAGTGGAACAACCTGGTAAGAATGAGTCCTTTGCCTAATTACAACTCAGCCCTTCCATCCCCTCCAGTCCTCTCTTCAAGAGTGGGCCCTCCAGGTCCAGTGGCCCCTCCCCCAACCCAAACCTCAGTTGCCCCACCTCCTCCTCCCTCTCACCCTCATGCTCTTTTCTCCTGGTTGCCTGGGCAATGCCTAACAAAGCCGTCATTTCACCAATTTCCACACACACACACACACACACACACACAAAAGGCAAACAGGTATGTTAGGATAAAATGCAAGCTTAAAAAAAACCCATAACAAAGTAAAATAAATAAATAAAAAATAACAAAGTAAAATGTTATGTGTGAAAACTTGTTTGTTTATTTGTTTAATTATTTATTTATTAATTAATAATTTTAGTATTAAATATTAACTTATTTTATTTAATATAGTTGCCAGGGCAACATTTCCATTTGTTTTTAATTTAAATATATTTTCATTGTATTTACGTTTATTTTACCTTTATTATTATTATTATTATTAGCATTATTATTATTATTGCTACATATTTTAATCGTTTGAGCTACTTTAATCATTATTGATAGCTACTTTTGTATTAGATGCTGGTTTGATCATATTGGTAAGTAATAATGCTGAAATTACAAATTTATTGTCTCCAGTGCATAAAAAGATGCAGGACTTTTATTCTAAAATGCATATTTCCTGTGACCGTCAGGAAACTCATATATAAAAAAATAAAATAAAAGTGGAGGGTGTCCCGTAAACCCAGCGGTTGTCTTGATATTATCTGGCCAAATCCCGACGACTTAAAATTCAATCTGGACCGATTTAATGGACAAATAAGGTGAGGAGATCACGCCTCTTCTTTCATAGTCTTTACAATGCGTAACGCCACCTTTGAAAAACTGCTAAAACAGTACAAATCCGATACTTCGATCAAGCTAAGCTAGGGCTAATTGACACTCCGTTAGCCAGTATGTAAACAGTGAGTCTCGCTCACAGATAAACTGAAACCTTGACCTTATATGTATTATTATGTGTATTATTTATTTGCCTCACATTTAACTCACATTTCTATTTTGCTGCATTGTCACATTTCAACATTTTACTCTCCAGAGCAACCAGTTACCCCACTTGAGTACAAGTTATAACTAAACTACACTAAATAGGTCTTAAATGGAAAGCACTGGAGTTAAATGTCTATGTAAGAAGTCAACGTGTTTTTATTTGTAAAGGAACGTACGTCACATTCCAATAGAGTCAATGAATTCATTTGTGATGTTTACTATGGGCGTGTGTTGCGCTCATATTGGCTAGTCATGCTGTTTTCAAGCTTGTTTGCATAGTTCAAACTGCTTGATCTCTAGATAATATATTTTTTAAAGTTTTTAAAATAATTTTTTTTGAAATCATGTTGGCATGTTTTGAATGTATTTAATCTTTTATTAATCATTTAATCATTTATTTAACCATTTAGCAGATTTAGCATCCAAATTGACTTCTCACAGTCAAGTCACCTTTATTTATATAGCATTTAATACAATGACAAAAGCAGCTTCAGAGTTATAAACAGGTAAATAACAGAATTAGTCTTGCAAACTTCAATTATGAAACAAATGTAAATTTTGCTGTAAAGAAAGACAGTAGTGTTGTTATTCAGCTCAAGTTCAATTCAGTTCCGTTCATTTACTGAAAAGTCCATCAATAATGAAACAAGTTCAATTCAGCTATAAGCACCGCATAAACTATGACCGTTTTTTCCCCTTAGGGGTACCAGTGCATGCCCAGATACCACAGGAATGGATATCACAAGTCGCTGCACCCTTGGTGACCCCAACAAGCTCCCAGAGGGAGTTCCTCAGCCTGCCAGGATGCCCTACGTCTCCGACAAGCACCCTCGGCAGACCCTCGAGGTCATCAACCTGCTCCGCAAGCACCGAGAGCTGTGCGATGTGGTTTTGGTGGTGGGAGCCAAGAAGATTTATGCACACCGTGTGATCCTGTCCGCCTGCAGCCCCTACTTCAGAGCCATGTTCACGGGGGAACTGGCCGAGAGCCGACAGACGGAAGTCGTGATCCGGGATATCGATGAACGAGCCATGGAGCTGCTCATCGACTTTGCTTATACCTCGCAGGTATGCATTCCTATTGCTGTATGTTCAGTATTAAAGTTGCATTAAATGTTCAACTACTGTAAATTTTTATGCTTCGTATTGAAGCTCAATATTAAACTTTAAACCAGCTGACGTAAGCTGTGTGGTGGCCTGCAGGTGACTGTGGAGGAGGGAAATGTGCAGACTTTGCTGCCCGCTGCCTGCTTGTTGCAACTGGCAGAGATTCAGGAAGCCTGCTGTGAATTCCTGAAGCGGCAATTGGACCCCTCGAACTGCTTGGGCATCAGGGCCTTCGCCGACACTCACTCCTGCAGAGAGCTGCTGCGTATTGCTGATAAGTTCACCCAGCATAACTTTCAGGAGGTGATGGCTGACCTCCACACGCCCTCTATTGTGTTGAGAATGAATGTACCATGACTTTGAACTTGAACCTTTTTGTTTCCATTTCTTGTTTTTGCTGTCTTTGTGTAGCACAGGTCTAAATATATTCTCTTTACTAATCATAAGTGATAGTAAAAATTAGGTAACACTTTACAGTAAGTGATTTGTTAATAGATTAGGCAACATGAACAACAACATTTTAAAATGTTGACAGTTAAGACATTTATAAGGTTAGTAAAGATTTTTATTTCAAATAAATGCTTTTCTTTTAAACTCTCTATAAAAAAAAAATCCTGAAAAAAATGACAGTTTCTACAGAAATATTAAGCAGCACAATTGTTTTCAACTGTGATGATAAATCCTGTAAATTACACACAATTTATATGTAGTCAATATAAATGTTTCTAGTTGTGCTAAATGAAATATTACTTGGGTTAGAACTGACACTGGTCAGAAAGTGTGGGAACCCTATAGAAGCCTCAGTTGTGACTTGTATCTAATTTTAGCCGTGCACTCAACTTTTCCATCAGCTAGTTTAGGGTTTCCCTGATGACCATGCAACCCTGTTATTTTTGACTCATGGGAGGAACCCCCACTGCTGGTATCAAATTAACACCCCCGTATTTCTTTTAGTTTAAAAGGGTCATATACAGTACCATGGTTTTGACTGTTTTTACAAACAACTGTAATCTGTTTGGTGAAGTAAAAAAAATGAATACATGTCACATTAATGTTTTTTTGATAATTTCTGCTTTTTAGGTGATGGAGAGTGAAGAGTTCATGCTGCTGCCAGCCAACCAGCTGATAGACATCATCTCCAGTGATGAGCTCAATGTTCGGAGTGAGGAACAGGTGTTTAACGCTGTAATGGCCTGGGTTAAATACAGCATCCAGGAGCGCAGGCCTCAGCTGCCACAGGTCAGATATAAGCGTATAAAACACTAAAGACATACTGCTTATGGTAGAAGCTCATAATGTGTAATAAAACAAAATGCGATAAATCAATGATTAAAACAGGTGTTCTTTTTAATATTATTTTGGAAACGTGATACATAATTTATTGAATAGAAAGTTCAAAAGAACAGCATTTATTTGAAATGTAAATTTATAACATTATACCTTTATAACATTATACATATCTTTACTGTCACTTTTGATCAATTTATAGCATTCCTGCTGAATAAAAGTAATTTCTACATTATATTTCTATAATAAATCTCTTTAATAATGACTAGATGACAGGCTTTTAAATTGTAGTATATATTATCTGGATAAAAAAGGGTTCTGTGTAAATTATTGCATCAATGAGATAAATAATTCATAAGACCACTCATCTGTTTTGTCATGGCAACAGGTTCTACAACATGTGCGTCTTCCCCTTTTGAGCCCGAAGTTTCTGGTTGGGACGGTGGGTTCAGATCCTCTGATCAAGAGTGATGAGGAGTGTAGGTGCGTGTGAACGGTCCGTTTTAAACCAAGTAAAGTTTTTGTTAATGGGTGAAGACCCTCATCAATGCCCCTTTTGCCAGAGTCCAATATCTCTGAAGCATATTTTAATAGACTCTGATGGGTTTAACTACTGTAGGTATATTTAATTTTAAGTTAATTATGCATTTTTTTTTTTTTTATAAAGTGAGACCAGACTTAGCTTAATAATAAAAAAAAACTTTTATATATTTGTGTATTTATTTATTTTTTAAAAATTATTTATTTACATGTATTTATTTATTTTTATTTTTCATTTGTCTCTCGTCTTGAATATACCGTAATAGTTGACATAGTGCTCAGTTATAAACAAACAGTCATGTATTTTGAGGATTTTGTACTTTAATCATGCTATTCAAACTGAATATAATATTCTATAAATATATAAAACCTTTTTGGAGGCTCTTGCAAAATTATAGGTCACCTTGATCTTTTGTCTTGTCTTGCTTAGTTTACAGCCATTTGCAATCAATCTGTACCATTAAAATAGGTTTTTAATTCTCTATTAACATTTAGATGTAAAATTTCCATTTCAATCTCTAAACTGTGACAGCATAGATTAATCAACACTTTTTCGCCCTATAGGGACTTGGTTGATGAAGCCAAGAACTACCTACTGCTACCCCAAGAGCGCCCCCTAATGCAGGGACCTCGAACCCGGCCCAGAAAGCCTATCCGTTGTGGAGAAGTACTGTTTGCTGGTGGGTGTTTTAGTAGCCATATCTTAGTTTCATTGGTTGTTTTTTTGTTTGCTTTCCAAGATTTTCTCTTTGCACATCAGACTTCTGTTTGTGTGACTCAGTGGGAGGTTGGTGCAGTGGTGATGCTATCTCAAGCGTTGAGCGCTACGACCCTCAGACCAATGAGTGGAGGATGGTGGCGTCCATGAGCAAACGGCGCTGTGGAGTTGGTGTCAGTGTTCTGGATGATCTGTTGTATGCAGTTGGCGGACACGACGGCTCATCTTATCTCAATAGTGTGGAGAGGTGCTGCTTGATTAATTAATTAATGTGTTTACCATGCTTCTAGAATCTAATGAATGAATCCTCACAGGATGAAATACATTAAATTAATTATGGATGAAAAATTTAACTCAGCATTTCTGCCCTCTGCTGGCTTTGTCAGGTATGATCCTAAGACTAACCAGTGGAGCAGCGACGTCGCCCCTACTAGCACCTGCAGGACCAGTGTGGGTGTTGCTGTATTAGGAGGGTATCTGTATGCCGTGGGAGGTCAGGATGGTGTTTCCTGTCTCAACATTGTAGAAAGGTACATACAAATATCTAAATTGGCATGGCTTGGAGTTTTCTTTAGGAGGGATTTAATGAGATATATATTTATTTTTTTAGGTATGATCCGAAAGAGAATAAGTGGACTCGTGTTGCCTCGATGAGTACCAGGCGGTTGGGTGTAGCTGTAGCTGTATTAGGAGGTTTTCTTTACGCAGTAGGCGGTTCAGATGGCACATCCCCACTAAACACAGGTAAATACTGGAAGGTGTAGAGGCAGAACTCGGTAATATTGGAGTCAGTTCAAATTGATCAGATACTGCTGTGTTTGTACTTAATATTTGATGTGTCTTCTGTATGTCTTAGAATAAATGCAGCTGAGGAGTGTTTTGACATTTTTATGATTAAAGCATTGGATATTATTATTCAATAAAAGAACATTACTGTATTGGCGTTAAAACTTTGAAGTTGTCCGTTTGGTAGTTTGAAGTTTCAGTAGTTGTAGTCAATACAAGCACCAAATTTAATAAACGTTGGAACTTTTTGTGAAACTTCTCAGTACTACAGCAAAAAAAAAAAAAAGCTATTGAATGCACTTTCTTGTTAAGTTAAATATAGGGTTGGGAATCGTTTGAATTTTTTTGGAATTCTGATTCCAATGTGGTTAAAAAAAATGAAGTCAAACATTTAGATATCAAAAACATTTATTCTGTATTTCTTTTTGTAAAACATTTTAATTGCTGCTGAATACCATGAACAGAAATCAGCCGGCTACAGAAAAAACCATTAAGAGCTGTTTGTGTGCAAAATAGAGCTGTACGAATCTGGATAAATTGAGACTTTTTAAAAAAAAATTTTATGGAGGTTGTAGTTCTCTTACAATTCTGAAAAAAAAAATTAGCCAGCTAAACAAAATCTCATGGAATTTATGAATGGAATGGTTCAATGACTCGCTCAAGATTTACTTGTTTCATTACTGGATGAGTCAGGGTTTTGAATGAATCTCTTGAATGAATGATTCAAGACAAATACATTTTTAACAGCTGCTTTTCGCCACGTAAAAAAAAAAAAATATTCGCACACAGGAATTGATAGGTGGAATTGAAATTTTAATTTTACGGCAAGTATCCGATTCTTGACCTTAAGTATCCGATTCTGGAATTGCAATTGATTTTTTCGATTCCCAAGCCTAGTTAAATATGAATATAAATATTAAATTGAAACAATTGAAAAGACTTGTGTAGTAAAGTAAAAATTGCTTAAAAATTTTCCAAGCAATTAAACAGTTTTGTTGTGGTAGGTGAGATGTTTTCCCTGTTTTTTTTAGTCGGTGTTGCTCGATTAATATTAACATGATAATGAACAGATTCATAACTACTGTATTTACATTTAATGTTTTGCCAAGACACCATTTTTGACCACAAAGTGCATATGAACACTCATGTGGAGCTGTATTGTTAATTTATTTCCTTTATTGTCAAATTGATATCAAAGTACTGGTATTTTTAACATACCTAATGCTTTATTCAAAACTGTTCAAATGTTTGGAATCAGTACTATTATATTTTAAGTGCACTTTGCACTTTAACTTAGCTGTGCACTATAGACACTCCTGCACAATGGTCAGTTTACATACAGCCGCACTCAGCCACCTAATGTGTGCGCTAGGGACACTCTGTGCAAATGCACATTATTTAGTCTGCTCTGAGCCACCTCAATTGTGCACTAGCACTTACACTTTTAACATTTCTTACGTTACTACAATTTTACATTTCTACCTCATGCTACTACTCTTGTTATGTTTAATGTGCTCTTATGTTTAATTCCTGTTGTCATGAATACATGTATACTTGTTTATCAGTGTCTTGCACCTTGGTCTGTCAGAAACGACATTTCGCTCTTCTGTATACTGTGTATGTGGAAGAATGACAATAAAGTTGAGTTGAAAAGAGACTTTTGTCAAAAACATTGACAAAATCTTACTGACTCCAAATGTTTAAATTAGGGCTGCACGATAAATCGCATGCGATATTTAACGCGCATCTTGTCAGTAAAGCCATTCTGTAATCAGCGAGCGTGTTGATTGCGGAATTTCAGATATTATAAAGCACATGCAGAATATTTATTAAGTGATTTTGTTGGCAGTGGAGCGGTATAACCCTCAAGAGAACCGCTGGCATACAGTGGCACCCATGGGTACCCGTCGGAAACACCTGGGCTGTGCCGTATACCAGGATATGATCTACTCTGTGGGCGGCAGAGATGATACCACGGAACTGAGCAGCGCAGAGCGATACAATCCCAGAACCAATCAGTGGTCGCCTGTGGTTGCGATGACTTCCAGAAGGAGCGTATCGCACACAAGGGACCGTCTGACAATTCCACCGACTGGGTTAAAACGTCCAATGTATTTTAATTAAAATTACTTTTAACATTTAAAATAACACACTGTCAAATTGTAAAGCTCGTATTGCTCATAGTGATTTACTACAGGTGAGATTTTGCCAATACCTCTCTTCATATCTGTACAGTACACAATTATTTACATATAAAAGATGGAAAGGGTTTTTTCATGTTCCAACATTGTAGTACATTGCTAGATACAAGACTAACTTACTACAGGTAAAACAAATATATTTTTTTAAAACTACAGTAATTCACCAAAAGGATTTTTTCATGTTCCACTGGTTGTAGAACGTTGCTAGTTGCAAGACTGACTTCATGTGAAATTTTGCCAATATCTCCCTTACTGTATGCACCATTCACAATTATTTAAAACAAAACAAAAAAAATCTGTAGGACCCCAAAAGGGATTTTTCATGTTCCAAAGGTTGTAGTATACTGTGGGTTGTGGGCTCATATTCTGGGCTCATCTGCTTAAATGTAGGCTACATAATATACAGTAATATACAGTATATTATTAATTAGGTGCCGAATTTAATCATTTATCATTGTCTTGAGGCAATAAACCACGTTAAGTGTTTTCTTTATGGGAAATTTTTAACGTGTAGTTTTGCGCGTTCTGTAACTTGCGTTCATATCCTCTTCTGCCTGTTTGTAGTTTGCATCATCAGTAAGATCGGAGTTTGGTCTTTTAATAGCTGTCGTTGCATTAGTGCACTTACTGAGCCGCATGATGCGTTTTCTTTAACAGATTTCTGAGGGAAACAGCGTGAAACCTTGCGCGTTCGTTCATATTCTACATCTGCTTAACTGTCGGTATAGTTCGCATCATCAGTAAAACTTTTTCTGAGATCTGAGGTCTTATAGTTCAGAGGCACCTTGCGCTTCGTTGGGGAATCCTGAAGTGTGATGTATGAGGGTAACCACAGTATTACAGCACAGCGTCACACAAGCCATGATACAAGTAAAGGAAACTAAGCAACCGAAAGCAATATATGTCTTCCTCAGATGTAATGTTAGTTCTGTACATCAGCGTTGGGTAAAATAGCATTATAATCTCCTATGTGGTAGAGAAAGCTTACACTACTGTTTTTATATATTTTTTTGTATCACGGTTTCCACAAAAACATTAAGCAGCAGCAAAATTGTTTTCAACATTGATAATAAAAAATTCTTGAAAAAGACTGGAAAAATGGCTGTTGAAAATTCAGCTTTGCATTTTACATTTTAAAATGCATGAAAATAGAAAACAGTTATTTTAAATTGTAATGATATTTCAAAATATTGCTGTTTTTACTGTATTTTTGATCAAATAAATGCAGCCTTGGTGACATTAAAAATCGTATTACCTCAAGCTTTTGACTTGAATGATGTGACCCTGGACCACAAAACCAGTCTTAAGTCGCTGGGGTATATTTGTAGCAATAGCCAAAAATACATTGTATGGGTCAAAATGATCGATTTTTCTTTTATGCCAAAAATCATTAGGATATTAAGTAAAGATCATGTTCCATGAAGATATTTTGTAAATTTCCTCCTGTAAATATATTAAAACTTAATTTTTGATTAGTAATATGCATTGCAAAGAACTTCATTTGGACAACTTAAAAGGCGATTTTCTCAATATTTAGATTTTTTGCACCTTCAGATTCCAGATTTTCAAATAGTTGTATCTCGGCCAAATATTGTCCTATCTTAACAAACCATACAGCAATGGAAAGCTTATTTATTCTGCTGTATAAATCTCAATTTTGAAAAATTGACACTTAAGACTGGTTTTGTGGTCCAGGGTCACATATTCAAATCATAGGTGATTTTCCAGTCACTGATTGTTTTTGCTGGGTTTTTTTTCTTTCCCCAAGGCTCTATGGAGGAATGAACTACAGGAGGTTGGGAGGTGGCGTTGGTGTAATAAAAATGACTCACTGTGAATCACATATATGGTAACACCTACAGTATCCATCTCTCAGATGCCTCACCATAGCTCATGCCTCATAGAGACATTGTACATCATGCAAGAGGAAAGCCTGTTAAAAACTGAGTATTGTCTCCAGTTACTGAGATGGCAAAGGAACCATCTCCTGAAGCTGCTCTGAGGAGACTCACCTGGCCAGAGAGCATCACTCCATTTTGTTTTTACATTTGGTTTCTCTTTCATACTTGAGAATACCCAAAGGCAATGTTTTGAAGAGAGAAACAGCAGCCGGAAAAGCATCAGCCAGAGCGTTTGTTTATCTGGAAGGAACTAGGCTTCTGCCGGTCTGTTTGACTGCATTGAAGAATAACTACAGTAACCTGAAACGCACGTCACTGGGGATGGGTGTGAATGACGCTCGTTCTTATGAGCAGATGTTTCCCTGATTGATGTTCTAGTCTGAATTGGATGCACTGTGATATCTTTACCATTTCTTTAAGTTTAGGTTTTTATAATGAGTTGTACACTGAGCGTTAACTGTTCCTCTGCATTTTACCAGATGTAAGCAGATCAGTTTTTTTTTTTTTCTCTCTCTTTCTTTGGTGTACTGAAAATGCAGTCCCTCCTGAAACATTGCAATCTAATGAAGGCTGTACAAGAAGAAAATAAGTTATTTTTGAAGCAGTCAAAAACAGGTTTGACATATTATCAATTTGTTTACTTTTATACAACCGAATGCATCAATGAACCAGTCCATGCACTTTGATCCACTGGAGTTTTTCTATTAAAGTTTGTATTTTTTATTTTTTTTATATTGTTGGATGTATTGTTTTATGCAAGTATGAGGACACAAGGTAAAAATAGATTTTTCATAATCTGACATTTTAGAAAAAAACAGGTTTGCAGTAGTAGCCTGCACGTATGCTCAGAAACTTAATGTAGAGCTTGTTACTGAATATGAGATGAATCTCTTTGAATTGTTACAACTGCCCTTACTTTTTTTTTTAAATGAACACTTGTTTTCCCACAGGACAGTTATGTGTTCTAATCTTGGTGTTGAAAAACGGTTACATAAAGTATAGCTTCCATGATCTTATTTAATTTTAAAGGTGTACAACGGTCTATACATTTCAAAACTTTGAAAGTGGAAATAAAATATCCACAGAAAAATAATCCAAATGTTTTCAGTCATTGAAATTGTGTTTATTGGTGATCAACCTTTTCCATGAGGTTTAGATCAGTGGTTCTCAACCTTCTTTATTCTGAGATCCCCCCCCGTAATGACAAAGCAGCTGGTTTTCAAACATTATTACCGAAACTATGAGCATCAATAGATACAATAAAAATACAGTGATTTGTGTAATTACCTCAATTTCAACAACTCTGGTCTTCACATTTAACATGTTTGTATAGTCATTTTTAGCATTTAACTTATAAGCCCCCTGTTTGAGAACCACTGATTTAGACTCCTTGAATTTAAATGTCCATTTTGGAGATCTCTTAAAAATATAATTAGAAAATTCAACTTAGATTTGTGCTTTATTGAGAGACAAAAGGTAACTCGGAATTCAAATACATTTTGTTATGCACATCTTGGGTCCTTTTCTGATGTAAATGCTTAAATGAAGGGTGTTCTGAATATACACCAACAACAACAGTAATATGCAACAACACAAACAGTCCATTTAAATCAATTACAAATAAGAAACCAATCAAATCCAAACTAATTTCAGAACTACCATTAGAACACAAACTTCTGCTCGCCTGTGCTACCTGCATGCTTTGTAAAATGTTATACATTTAGATTCTGACATCGTTGGCACTGCTAGCAAAACGTAATCAAATAATTTCAGAGGCCCTGAGGCAAAACACATCTAAACAACCAAAATTAAGCCACTATTCATTTTGTAAAGATAACAAATACCCCCAAGTGATTTGCACACTTTAAAAGGTTCAAAATGTTTGTATAAAATATAAACATATGTTACAATATACTAATAGACATATTAATGCCTATTTGTGTGAACTATTTATAAGAACCTATACATGTAGTAGTGATAAATTTACACACAGTTGATAGTCAGGTTTATTTGTGATAAATGAGTTGAATCACATTAATGTAAGCCTAAGACTGATATGTTATTTGTCTTGATAAAACTCTAGCAAGTTAAAGAAAAGAAAACAGGCATCCGAAAACAGAATAAAAAGTTCAATTTTTAAAAGCTGGAAAACAAGCATAGACATATTTTACAGCACAAAAAAACAAATATGAGACAATAAGCTTTAAAAGATATAAAAGTTTAGATGTCATAGGAAAAAAAACAACAACCAAAAAAATTTATTTACAAATCTAAATAAAAATCAGATTTTAGGTTGGCATTTTCAAAAGAGCAGATTCTGTCAGCAGGGTAAGTAAGGTGGTGATGTAGTCACTGTTTCCAATCTGAAGGAGAGAAAAATCAAGTTGTAACAAATACGAATGCAACTCGCGCTGTATATACAATGAATAGACATGACACATAACAATTACCTTGAGTTTCCCATCAAGATGTGCTGATCCCAGAGCGGTAGATACTTTTACGAGTGTACCAGCAGACAGGTAGATCTTAAAGTGTCGAAAAAAATGAGTCTCCAGCCCGTTGATGAAAGACTGGACCTCTTTAATATCAATCTTGTCGTCTGTACTCTCCTCTGGGTGAATGCTGTTCCAGAGCTCCCACGCATCCTGTGGGTTAACTGTATAAGAGACATCCAGGGGTGGCTGTGACGGAAGGCTCCAGGCCAGTTTCAGATACCTGATATTGCAGGTGGAATGGCAACCAGTCCACAGAGCAGCCAGCCAGTTGAGAGTGGTGGAGTTTAAAGCCAAAGAACCAAAGTTGCAATCAAACGCCCTCTCGAACCAGGATTTAACCAGGGTTGTAAGAGACTCCGGTCCGCTTGTGCAAAACAGAGGTAAGCTGACAAAATCAGGAGGCAGTGACCTCAGGTACTCCGGATCACCATTGACGCACGTGAGCCAACCGCGCCAGACAACTTTCGGTGCATCTGCAGCTGCAGCAAATACCGGTTTGGACTGGATCTGAGGGAATAAGAGAAAAATTTACATGAATGTGGCATATTTATATGCTTCCATTCAAAAGTTTGATCGGTAAGACTTTTTGAAAAGAGGTCTCATATGAAGAAGTCTCTTATGTTTGCCAAGGCTGCATTTATTTGATACAAAATACAGTAAATATTCATATTGTGAAATATTATTATTTAAAATATCTTTATTTTAATATTTTTTTCAAATGTAATTTAATCCTGCGATGGCAAAGCTGAATTCTAAGCACCCATTACTCCAGTCTTTCTTTCAGAAATGATTCTAATATGCTGATTTGGTGCTCAAGAAAGAAGTTCTTATTATTATCAATGTTAAAAACAGTTGTGCTGCCTAATAGTATTGTAGAAACAGCTATTTTTTTCAGGATTCTTTGATGAATCGAAAGTTTGTGTAGCAATGTAAATGTATCTATTGTGACATCAATTTAATGCGTTACACTGATTTTTGAACCCAAACTTTTCACATGACCCTTTAGAAAGGATTCTAAAATGCTGATTTGGTCCTAAAGAATTATTATGGTTGAAAACTGGGTTGCTGCTTAATATTTTTATTTTTGTGAAAACCATGATGCATCTTTTCAAGATTCATTGATGAATAGGAAGAAAAGCATTTGTTACAACATAAATGTGTTACTTTTGATCAATTTAATGCAGGGGTGGGCAAACTTGGCCCTTCCAGGTCACTTTCCTTCAGAGTTTAGCTCCAACTCTAATTAAACACACCTGAACCAGCTCATCATTGTCTTCAAGACTACAGGCAGGTGAGTTTTATCAGGGTTGGATGAAATCTCTGCAGGAAAGTGGCCTGGAAGTTTGCCCATCACTGATTTAATGCATCCTTGCTGAAAAGCATTTATTTCTTAAAACAAAAATGAACTAATTACCAGCCTGTTCAGGCTTACCTGAATGAAAACAGTCTCCGCATCCTCATCTGTCTCAGCCAGTCCAAGAACTGCAGTAAATGTCACCTTAAATCCCACTTCTAACCCGACTTCAACTGCAACTCCTTGCTGTTTCTCTGCTGCGATGAAGGCTGCGAGGTGTTTGGAATATGATTTCAGCTGTGTATGTCTGAAGTGATGCAAAGGGGTGACGTAGGACAGCTTCCACTCATTTTTCACCAGAAGAGCGATATGCTCAGGGTCAACCTTATTCTGTAGGAAAAAAATAAAGACATTTGACACTCAATCCACTCTATATCATATTGAGATATTGAATGAGTCTTTTGAGTCCATGATCTCTTACAGTGATGAGTTGTGATCTGGCAGCCCCTCTACTGGTTGGGATCTTCAAGACTGTTAAATGTCCTGGTGTTTGCCAGAAATATGAGGGTGCTTCCACACAGCTCCGACCATAACTTTTGCTTCTACGAGTAACGGGTCTGCTGGCGGTAGTGTTGACGGCACTGCATGGGTAATACAAGCAACAGATATAGTTATTTATAACGACTCTACTACTAATGGAACCAACAATGATCAACAACTTCTGTTTTAATGACAAAATATGTTATATGTCGTAAGTGTACGCTTACAATACACTAAATTTGGGGGGTTTAAACCATTTAATCAAACAACTTAATCAGAAAACAAAAGACAACAGTTCAGACAACAGCTACTATTAGCATTTCGCTAAACCAGTGCATGATCCATTTTCGTTGTATTAAGTGAGACGCGCATTACGTGTTGTGATTCAAATAAAAATTCTGCGAGACAAAACGTTTTAAGTTTACAATCTTAAATCTGTCATACCTGCCTCTCCCCTCCATGATGAACAAAAACACACCGAGCCAAAAAAAAAAAAGCAGGAAGAGGATTTGAACATCCCGCTTTCCCGTCGTGCAATGGGGCGGGGGCAGGAATACTAATCGATTGCTGCTAGTAAGAGTAATATGCATCACATATTTCTACATTTAGTCGACTCTACATCATATTTACCAAGATAAGTAAATGGTGTTGATAGACTTAAAATTATGGTACATAAATATAATAAACGTTATTTATTGTCAAAAACAATAAATCGATTAGTTCTAATTTGATTAGTTATGTCACAGCATTTAATGCGCCGGAGGGACTGTAGCACACGGATACAGTTCCCAACTGCCATGATTCAGAATGTCAGTGAAAAGTCACATGGATTAAGATTTTTAATTTAATTCAGTTATTTTTATACGCTATGTGAGGCAAATTGTATAGGTGTTTGTATTCTGTAGACCGACTTAGGTATAAGATTAAGGAAAGGAGAGAAAAACAAAGGTGACCGTCAGTCTTACATTCATTGCAATGGTGTAACTGCATTTATAGATCTAGACTCGCGTACACTATGAAGACATAAACAAAACATACACAATTATGTGAAGTGACAGCTCTGAGAAGTGTCTTTTTATTTGTTAAAGAAAACAGAATACATTTTGCCAGAGACACCACGTCCACGACCTCGCATACAGGACGATGGCGAACAAACACAGATTATTTTTTCTTAGATCAGCCCAGCAGGTATTGAGATGTCTGTATAGCAGAAGACCAGTACCTTCCATCAGTTATATTTATTTAACAAAACCATCTCTACCTCCAAATTCGTTAGCATGGGCTCATAACTTCTCCAGAAACTGCTCTACTTACTCATCAGGTAATGTGACCTTCATTAAACTAGACAGTGTATTTGT